CATTGCATTTTATTACTCTCAAATGCCAACAGAAAAAAATGGAAACTGTTTTATTTCTTACTAACAGTGAAATTCTATTGAAAAAAGCAACAACAAATGACTAAGCACAAACCTTTACTCCTGTAAGTATGGAATGAATGAATGTCCTTGGTTAAAACAAAAACGTAGTTCTTCGTAACGGTAGTTGCTTCTAAAATACACGCATTGGTTGGCTGAGTATATATTTCTCACGAACCCCTAGCGCTAGTATTCCGTCTAAGACTACTTCAGATCTGCAAATACACACTTCCAATCCGTATCTGATCCACATCAGGCCTCATCAGATCGGATTGAGCCATGCGAGAGCGATCGAATCGGGCCAGACCGATTAACCTGGAGCTACCTTCTTTTTATGGCGAACCGACGCACACCTTGCCTTGGAACCCGAAGTTGATGCAGCGGAGATATGTCAATAAAAAGGCACTTGTCCAATTGGTCTTACGTCACAAGAGACGAATCCTCTTCATCCAGCTATTAATGGGCCTCGAGCTGGACCAAGAGAAGGCGCTATTTTCTTTGCAATGGAGGCTCCTTTGGTAGGAACTGAAGTTCGCTGGTTCACAAACGTCGCATCGCTACCAACAAAATGAACACTCCCGACCAACGCGGCTCTTTTTAACCGATGAGGGGGTGTTTCTGCTCGAGGTGGATAGGACATTGGACTTGATGATCTAGAGGGCGGCAGTTTGAATCCACATTCGAGGGCTCACCAATCAGGCAGTCGTTCGAACGTGGGCCGACTTGCCACCCCTGGCAGCAAATGTACACCCATCGACTGGCAATGTGTGTCCTGGTGGAGTGTTGCAAGCAAAATACACTGAGCTGTTAGAGTCTGAGTGTATGCACATTACGCACTTTATACTTTTCCGAAAGAGTTTCATCATATCGAATAGGCCTAAACGTTTTTAATAAACCCACAGCATCACGGATTTGAACGACAAATACATGTGCGTTGTGTATTTGTCAGTTAAATGTTTAAACCCATTTTTAAAGTACAAGAAAAATTGTTGAAAGCTTGTAGGAACAAAATGTCGCCCCGAAATTGAAATTCTTCCATTTTTTTTCTTTTTCAGGTGAGCTTTAAAATGAACTTTAAAATTGGACTTGTGTCAATGTCAGAATTGTAAATCTTCGATGGAACAATGTGGGCAAAAGATGAAGAATGACTTGTTTTCGAGTGGAATTTGTTTTCTCGGATCACATCTTCGAATTGTGCATAAAATGTACATCTTATTTGTTATCTGACCCCATGCTGCATTGTAAATCCCCTAGTTTAGTTGGCGCGTCAAGCACATTATCGGTTCACAAAAACGGGGCTCGTCTTTACTTATTATTATTCGGGTTAATTTGGAGTAGAAATTAGTTGTAATCTACACCACTGGAGTAACATGTCAACCCAGTCTTGGGGGTTGCAGTTACTTATCACCCTTACTTAGGTTACAATTCAGCCCGACATTTCATAAGATTTGTTTCACATACATGTATGCACAAATGTAACACAATTTTGTGTGAACAATAGTAATCGTGTGAAAACAAAAATCTACTTTGGACAATACTTTGAAAGCTGGGGTTCGCCCTGCGGGTTGAACGGAACCCTTCCTCTCACCAATTTTTCCTGATATCACCATCATGATCCACCCCTTGATCGTATAGTTTTTTTTTAAATGCACATTTAATGTTTTTCGAGATGAGGCACATTTTCGACAAAGAGGTCGAGTCCTGAAATATCTGTTGAGTGTCGCATTGGCAGTGGACAAGGAATGACGCTGGTTTACGAGCATTCGTAGAAAATAAAGTTGCTCTTCGTCGTTGCACTTACAGGGCGCTGAGAAGGTCAGTAATGTAAACTATATAAGGGGCGGGGGCACGACCCCACCTGCTCCAGGGTCGGGCTCCCCCTTGTGCCTTTCCCTTTAGAAATTAGAGAAGGAATAAATCCGTTGATAGTCCTCCATGGTCATTGTTCGAATCGTGATCGACTTACCCACGGAGTTCCCCTCCAGAAAAATGAGAGCCCTAAGTGCCCCCTGAGAAACGCATACACCAGTTACGCCGCTGAGGCATCTTGTTTTTATTTACTTACTACTTTCCCAAGTCCATTCTATGTCCACTCCACCACCTGCTACGGGACAGTGTAACTCTCTTTAAAGATGAGGTTGAAGAAAATACATCTTAGAATATACAAACATATATAGTAAAAGCAAAATCCCAGTGTTTCCTCTGCTTTAGGCCTAGCATCGTTTGTTTGCAAGCAAACAAACGAAAAACTCGAAGAATCAGGGACGGGGTTCACTTGGTGCGGGCATTTTTTCTAAAGGAGCAGTTTGAAAGTTTGAAGTGTGTATACTGGACGTGAAAACTTTCCTGCAAATACTTTATATCTAGCCTCTTGGATTTCAGTGGAATGCCCTGATTGCCCTGTCCAAAGATCCGCGCTGGACACATATTCCTGTGCTGAGGACAGTGTTTCGTATCCAAAACTAAAACACATAAATACATGTCAAACGAGGATCGACAGATGTTCCTCATTATGTTGTGGGTTTTCAACTTCAACATACCTGAAGTTCACTTACGTGACGTAGTTGATGCACAGGTAGGCTCCGTTTGGTACAAGGGACCGAACCGTCGCTGCGCAAATCAAGCCCGTTAGTAGCAGGACCGGGACGCCCACTGAAATTCGCAAAACAGCGGGGATGGATTGTGCCATCGCTTGCTGGAGGGCATAGCCCATTTTAGCGTCGATTGCCAAAGTTAGTTCACTCGAAATTGAGCGACTTCTAAACAAACTAGTGAACTGTATCCAAATGTGAACGCTTTAAGTAACTTTACGTGACAAACATGTACTTTTCATTTTCGTCTGACCATCGTTATACAAGCGGCTGGGATCAATGTGATCATTTTCCAGGTTAAGTTAAAATAGTTATCGTCCTCGATATCGATGATACTCATGGAGAAGTTCCTTTTGAAATTTTACATGAACACCCCAGGAAGGCAAATTTTACTGTGATTTCACTATACCTTTCGTACAAGCTTTGACCAAACTTGAAGATGAATCCCACAATTGACAGGTTTCATTTCAATGTTACAAAAATATCAGGTGAATTGAATAATAACTGTGTGGATATGAAGTTTGAATTACAGCACGACTCGAATGTAGGCCTATACACCTTGTTCAGGGTGACCCCGCTTGAACCCATTATATTGAACTTTTCAATGTTTCGGAACTGGCAAACCCGAGCTCAGGAAGAGAAAACGCGCGCACAGGAATCCAAACCTGGGAATGAGACTTCACTCACGTCACATCGCCGCTCGCAGGGTCAATGAAAAAAGGGTACAGCATAGCTGCACGGTTTGCGGGTACCGATGTCATAAGCGGTACAACACAAAAACGGGTTCAAGTTTTCTCTCGATGCGAATCGACTTCCTTCGGTGAACGCTTAGAGCCTACAGTTAGTTCAGATTTCAATGTGGCCGCCGTCATCGCTTCGCCCACTTCACTGTTCAATACGTGCGGCGTATTGCCATACCCTGTATATCTTTCTAATTGATAGTATCCATATTGATACACTGACCGCGCCCCTGATCTGTACAGAAGACAATACCAGGCAAATCGGAACAACGGCCATGTTTGCGTTTCCATTGCGTTTGCCAAAGTTTGAATGTTAAGTGCGACACTGCATGTAGTCAATGTTATGACTGAAACCTGAACGGAATGAATAGGCGAAAAAGACTGCTCTGGGAAATCTAGGCAGGGAGATGTACATTTTCGCGCGAGAGTGGATGTATTTCCCCTTTGATCGACCAAATTAATAAAGTTATGTAGAAGCTGATGCTGTTTGCTTGTGAAGAACATTCCTTTATGCTTGCTGGTAATGTGGGACTCGACTTGCACCCACAACGTCATGCTTCCATATTTGTACTTAATAAGTGGGAATGGCAAAACGTATCAAATTGGTTCTGAATTAATTCGGCTACACGTGCAGTGGAATCACCCGCTTAATAGTGCTTCTTTCAACAACAGGGAATATGGGTGTTTCACAACAGTGTGTCTTCAAGAGTTTGCATTGCGTTGGCCAATCACAAGGTACGAAATCTGTCGACCCAATGTGCGTTTGGAAATGGTCTACAAATGTAGGGCGTAGTGATTGGCCAATGCGTTGCAAACTCTTGGAGGCGTACTGTTGTAAGTCGCCCATATTGGGATTTACCAAACAAAATAATGCGCCCCACAAGTCACAAACCTAACTTCAACAAAATGTTTTCTGTGGGTTACCAAATACACGTAGGCCCCCCTATGTGTCAAGTTTAAGAGTGCTCGCGTGAATGGTACAGAATATGGCTGACCGTAAGTACAAAAGGTGTATTCAAGTGTTACACAATATCGTGCGAATATTAACACTAACTTATAAATATTTTACAAAATACGAAAATTAAAACGATTTCTATTGGAGGCAAATAGGCCTACTGTCACTTATAATAGGTAAGCTTTCTGCAAAATGTGACTGCCTAGTAATACGGGCAATTCACAAACGTGTGCCTTCAAGAGTTTCCAGCGCGTTAGCTAATCAAAAAGCGCGAAATCTGTTGGCCCTTTCCAAACGGGCATTGGGTCAACAAATTTTGGAATTGGGTCAACAAATTTCGTGCTTTGTAATTGGCCAACGCGTTGCAAACTCTTGGAAGCACACTTGGCGTATAACGCCTGTACTGGCAGCCAATGTTTCTAAGCAAAAGAATGGTATATCCACCGGAAGCAGAACCAAGAGAGGGCGCAATTTTCCTAACAACCAAGGCTCTTCTGATGGGATCTAACTGCACTTCCATGGTTCATGAACAAGTGTTACATTGATTCGTTGTTGCTATTAAACAACAACGTGAATACCCCCCACCAGCGCAACATGGATATTTTCGACCTTCTGCTCAAGGCGACCGAAAAGAGTTGTTTCACTTACGAGAGTCACAGGAGTCGTGTCGCCTGGAGTACATCCACCCGGGACAGCACTCTAAACCAACGGAGGAGACAAGGCGAAAACTGGTGGTGTACTGCTCCCGATAGACCACTCTGAATGGGGGGAAATTGGTAAAGTTTGCCCACTGGCGTAATAAAGGAATGGGGCACAGGGACATGTTACATGTACTTCCAACAGACGCCCCTTTGAAATCTTGAAGTGAACACAACCAACAGACGCAGTTAATTTCACTTGTAACCCTTCCCCCTTACTTCCACCTCAGTAACGTCACCGGGATTTGGCTTAGCCTTGGCCGAGGCATTTGTCATTAGCCGTCCACAACTGACCGGCTGTAGCCGGCATGCAGCTACCTTCTCGCGGTGCACTTACGTGGCATAGCCTGCTCGACGGCGAACGGTGACCTCATAGGGCAGCGTGAGGTCGCTGTTTGCCTTCATTTCTGTACACTCATGAAATCAGCCAAGGAGCGCCAGTGGGTTCAGTTTAATAGCGCACAGAAGGCTTATGAAAGACGCCTTGATCATGGTCAGATTTGCCTTGAAGTTCAGGCATGGCTTTTGAAGGTAAATTTACATGCAAACACGAACACTTATGTAAAAAATATGTTTTAACCGGCAAGAGTGTTTTATTCTAATTCCCCTTTTCACCGTAGCTTTACCTTAAGGTCTGATCTGGCTGTACTTGAAAATTGTACATTTCCGTCAAAGAATTTACGCATTGAAACAGCCCAATGAAAGTCGTGAAGCCATTCTGAGAACACCTTGATGATTAGCTGAAGAAATAACGTCTTACCTGATCTGCTGACATATAAACCAATTGCCGCACCTGGTCATGTAGGTCTCGTAATGGGCAGTCTGGCGACTAGCAGTGTACGTCTCATTGTATCTGTGGTGCATGGACAGAGACAAGGGATATGACAAGCGATGCAGCAATGTGATTCGTATAGTCATCTATTAGCGAACCTTCTCCTGGATTCAAACTCAATCACCGAGGAAAGTTTCCCCAGTCCTCACCAATCGAGAGCACGGGATGTACACGGCTTGACGCACCATCCCGAAATGATGTAAACTTCGAATCTGCTGAAGCGATTGTCTATAACGACTTTAAAATTCTAACTGTAAACTGACACCCACTGGCAACGAAACCCTGTCATGAGAATCTTTTTTTTCTAAATAACCAGCTTCTCTGTTTTCAACGTTCTTTTTTCTGGAAAATTGTAAGCAGTGGGAATACAGGTTTTTTTCTTATTCAATGTCTTTTATCTGATATTTAAAGATCAGTCTCATTAATAATTAACAATTTCAGTTTTTATGAAATTGTGTTATATTTAAAACAATCCATTATGTAAAAACAAATACAGATTGATACTGAGGTTAAAAGCACGAGTTCTCCTTCATATCAAGCAAAATGAAAACAAAAGTCGTCGGAGGCATCCAATAGAAGCTCGCTTTGACGTCATACTGCGGATGGGCAATACGGGCAATTCACAGGAGTACACCTTCAAGAGTTTGCAACGCCTTGGCCAATCACAACGCGCAAAATCTGTCCGCCTTTTCCAACACGCACTGCGTCAACAGATTTAGCGCATAGTGATTGGCCAACGCGTTGCAAACTCTTGGAGGCGCACTGTTGCGAATTAAACGACGCATTAAACGACTGTTTCATTTTTTTCGCTGCGACCGCGCCAGCGTGCGTGAGTGCCGTGCTTGTTTGCATTTCACTGTGAATTAAAAGAGGTCGGACGGTGAGAGGGACTTGGAATTGCTTTTATATCGACAATGTCAGGCAAGTCAAGATGTCAACACTGGATCGTATGATAAAGTTGAACCGTCCCAATCACATCGAACTTACTTTACCCGGTTTTTTTTTCTTCTGTTCTTATGCTGTAGGGCTTTAAAGCCCTGGGAGAAAGTCTGAACAGCCATGGATGTGAAAAAAGAGCTTTTATATCGAGAACATCATAACAGGGTGTGCTTTACAGGAATTTGTACGTGTGCTTGCGGCGCGGTATTCAACATGGCCGCTACCATTTTTTTTACATCGAAAATGGGGGTGGGTCAAAACAATTTAAAAAAAAAAATCAAAATTTAAAAATCATCAAAAAATTTTATTGGCCCCTTGCGGCCGCAAATCTGAGAAACTCAGGGGAAAGAAACCATGACATTTTCAAGTCGCTGGATTTGTATGCCGCCTCATCGAAGCATTGTTTTTACTCTGAGCATTCTCTCGGTGGAACTGAATTCCCAAAATGACGATATTTTTTATACATTCGAAGAGAAGCTGCCACATTAGTTATTGTATGGGTAATAACAACCAATTCCCTGTTTGATAACCATTTTGGGTATATGTGCTGATCTATGTCAGGTTCAAGTACTAGACTATATAAGGGCCCACTCCCACAAGCAATTGATAACGGAGCGCGTAATGGAAAAATGGTTGCAGTGCCGAAACTTGCATTTTACACATGTTGTACATCAATTTGCACATTGTAACTGACGCAGTTCATCAAGCCGTACTTCTTCGGTGCTCCCTGAAAAATGTGTGCACCGTGGGAGTCCTTCGAATTTCACCCTATAGTTACACCACTGCGTTTACTTTTGCTTGCGGTGTCTGGTGTGAAATACGGGTAGTGTCAAACAGCGCCGAGGACCGAAAACACAGTTTTTAAAAGTATATACTTCATATATAAAATGCCTAAATTGGTGGAATGGCTAATTGTACAAGACAGGGATATTGAAGGAATATGAGAGGTCAGTTCTCATGTCGCAGGGTCTTTATATTTTTAAAAACTTTCCCCGCTGTTCAACAAGCTATCACCGTTTAAAACATATCGTAGACCTATGTTCAAAACAGAGTTTCTTTGGAGGGTACCTGGGTGTGCTTCAACGTGAGCATACACTCAGCAGAATCGGGACCCAGGTACATTTTCCTCAATGTTTTTTGCAAGTTTACAGTATGCTGCAAATCATTCGTGCTTTGTTTTTTGTTGATGTCTTGAGGTCGTTTTAACACCAACTGTTTGAAAATGGGACACACTGCGAAAAGGGTCGGCCGAAAATATTCAGTTGACATCATGCTCAATGCCCGGGCCAAAGTCCAAGGAAGCGAGAGATGTCAGTGAGCGTAGCAGGAAAACTCTGTATCACAGCTTTGCATGTGTATTTCAATGGATATCCTTACATGTGCACTAGGTTTCAAAAAGATTAGTTAGCCGAGATTTTAAAGGGTAGAATCCGCCTCTAGCTGCGAAAAGGTCAGGTTAATGTTTTTGTAATTGTAACTTTCCTTTGTGAACTGCACACAATTGGGTCTCCACTCGACAAGCACCTCCTTCTTGGAGACATTCATCCATACACAATTTAACATGTTCAATATCTGTTCATATATGTGTGTTGGTAAACAAAAAAGATTTGAAATGAACTGAAAAATACTCTTTTAGGATTAAAAATCGAAATTCACGACAGAGAGGGAGCCAGGATGTCATTTTTTAACCACACATGGCTAAGTGTTTGATGCTTCTCTTGCAAGGTTACATCTTAGGGGGTATACAAAGGCTAGTCTTGACACCGTGTGGGAGCAAATGTGTGACGTCACACCAGGATGTGAAAAATAATACTCAAGTGCACTCACTTCCCATAAAATGGGGTCATTTAAATAGATGGCCTTCAAAAAGAAATATGTGAGTAATGGGAATAGGATATCCAATCTGCAGGAACACACAAAACTGTTTATATGGGTGCCTGTTGCCAAGCAACTTCATTATCCATAGCAACATCCATTCTGAGCCTAATTAACATATCAGTGAAATCCTATGCCAATGTTTGGTGTTTAGAATTATCTGTGAAGTTTAACACTTGATGTATTATAACTCGCTAATCTTTAACAGCAGGTGTAGAAAACGTTTGCAAAGACGAAAAATAAGGCTGACGTGTAGAAGTACACAGGCCTACTTCCCGGGCCAGTTCAACTAATTGATTAACTAACTTGAACACCTGACTTCTTCATCAGAAAAAGAATGGACTACTTCGATACACTAACAAATCTGGAATTGAATGGGAAACTAGCCAAGAAACTGGTCAGAGATTAATAAATGACCAGTACACATCAAAATGACCTCCCAGATTTCCGAAATTTCATCTCTAAGAATTCCCTAACATTTCGTCTCTGAGAATTTAATTTCAAACGTCATTGTGAATACCTTTACCAAATACCAAGTAAGAAATGTTCACTTGCAATATTGTTTCAAGGCCAAGCACCACGTTCTATAATAGCAGGAAAAGAAATTCTAACTGAAACCATCCTTAGTAAAACTCATACTGGAATTTTCTCTTTGTGTTCATCATGTAATATTAAGGAACTCTTCACGACCCAGGAAAAGAGAATTTCATCAACGACCTTTTACGTCAGATATTATCGTTCCTGGGTTTCCTTGTTCATGTACGTTCGTTTCACTTCATGTTCCTTCTTGAGATTGAGAACGAGAACGTACAACACTGCTACGATTTACCTATACCTACAGTCGATGGGTTCTGGATGTATTTAGGTTGGTCTAATGTACTTCTTGTAAAAGCAAACAGGTTAGATTAAACTCAAGAATTTTTTGCAAATGCTTATTATTCTTTTTAGTTTATTTTTAAGTATATTGTGGTCTCCAATTTCAATTTCAGTTTTAACCTAAAGATTACCATAAAATAATTTTCCAACTTTTCATTTGCATACGAGCGCACAGATCTTCAATGGTCGTCCAATTTCAGATTTCGTGAGTGAGAGTTCAGCTTTGGCCTGGCATTTCTCTTTGAAGTCAGACGATACAGTTTCTAAAAAATCCATATGCTTGTAAATATTTTGCACAGGCCTTATATCAGAGATGATTTTTTTCTTAATTAAGTAAATGAACGAAAAACAAATTAGAATACACGAGCCACAAAGAGGACGCCGTCGATTATGCCGGTCAATTCAATTGGCAAGAAAGAGCTTTCTCTGCTGAGCAGTGCTTTAGGAAAAATCGTTTAGGATTCTAAATCCAGTACCTCACTGCCCTAACGTGCGGTTCGTCAAGTCTATATAATAATTAGGAAGAAACTTTACTATGACCACGTGATTGCATATTTGAAAAATAATCTAGACTACTCTGGTGTTTACTTCCTTTCAAATGCCCAAAATTTGTTTTTTAAAGGGTAGCTGCAATCAATTTCACAATGCACCTTTATGTCTCGCTTAGCCTTATTTTAAACATTTCACCCACTATTTCCAAGGGTATTTCTTCATTTTTGTGCAAAATGAGACTTCCATATTCATGAGTAAAACTGACATCTCGGGAAGAAAGCCTCGATATTACATTAGTTTTTACACAAGACGTTCTTTAGTTCCGTCGATTTTGCTGGACTAAATTTCCTCCTCGTTGCTGATTCATACGTTGTAGTGTTTATGTGCATTGCATTAGGCAAGCACCAGTTTCTTTCTCAGAAATGTTTTCAGTAAGTAAATTCTGGGTTCACAATTTGAATAGAAAACCTATGCAATGAACTATGCCCTCCTTGTATGACATCACAGCAACAGCGCCCTCAGTTGTCCAGGAAAGCTAGGATAGTTTTAAAAAGTGCACTTTCATTGAATTAAATCAAATAGGGTGTCAGAGAGTTTTCATACATGGAAAAACAATTTTTTCCCATGAAATATTCACTGCACCTACGCTTTATTCCCGAAGAATCCGCCCCTAACGTCGTGGCAGTCCCATGCCCGAATTTTTGAACTGGACTTGCTTGTAAAAACATTCATTATAAGTACATCCATGGTTATGGTTATTTCATTTAAGGGACAGGTCTAAACACTTTTGGCCGATCTGTCTCGGAAGAGGGTTTCGTCAGAACAGTGTGCCCTATTTGAATAAATCTTGCGGCCAAATTATTGCATAACCGGAAAGATTCCCATTACAGTCTCGGCACGACAAAAATGCATTGCGGCATATGGGAGAAAACATGGTGATGGTTGGGCAATGCCACCTGAGGCTCTCTCTACGGTTATATTTAGAGAGCCTGTAAAACAGTGTCTCTCATAATAGGACTGTTGGGCTGCATGTTCGTTTGGGGAGGCTCTTAATGCAAAGAAACACGTTTCGTCTGTATCGTTACATGAAACACTGCTATAAGAAGAAACAGAAATAAAGTCAAAAAGATCGGGACACGATTTGGGAGGAAAGGGTATACCTAACATTTACCTTGGTTCCTTCATTTGTCGTGCACCTAAACCGAATACTATAGTTCAATCAAAAATATGTACATGTACGTGTATATCCGTAAATATCCGTAAACAGGTGTCCGTGTAAAACTGGCGGCTGGGAACATAGACCACAAGCGACTGTTATATGCGGAAACTCTTTTTTCCCTTGATCGCAGCAAAGGAAAAAGTACATATCGAAATTTAAAATAAATCATGAAAAAAATAATTAGCTTGTGCGACTTATCTTGCTGCAACGTTCGTTGAAATATAATAGTTTGCTAGTTTCCATCGTTTTCAACAACGCGTCCGTATCATTTCATTTCTTCCGGTATCGAGCTCGGTAGGGTGATACGTGTGCCCATTATGAATATCATTATGATCATAATTTTCATTTTCTGACTGTAGGTGAGACCTTTCGTGTGAAAAGGAAAGGTCTAAAAAAGTCACTTTGCGAGGAGAAAACTGAGCTGCCATTGCAAAAAAAACATCCTTTGGCATAGTGAGTTTTAAATTTTAGACGATACTTGGACAGAATGTGACAGCAAAAATTAGAAAAAGAGGACAAAGGTGAAAAGAATACTCACTGAACTGTCGAGTTGCAGACGTTATCTTGACCCAGATTAAGAGCTCCTGTATGCTGAATAAACCATAAAAGCACACACATTACGATTGAAAGAGACATGTTTTTTCACCCGCGAACAAGGCTTGAGTTCAGCTGAGAAAATCCACAACTCGTTAAACTCCCACGGAATTAATAAATGAATAGCAGCGCTGCGTTTGATGTTCACGTGCAACCTTCGCCTTGCTAAAAGAAAAAACAGTTGTCATAAGACACACAGCTACATTCAATGACAATCGCTATCATTCAGGAAATAACAGGGATGGAAGAGAAATTTGAGCGACAGGATCATCCTGTCACTTTCTTGAATTTCAAGTTAGCGTTGATGAGTGTTGTTCGCAGTATTCGCCTTCCTCTTAAGTGTGGCTGCAACGAATTTTCTTCGACACAATTTTTCTGTAACTTTATAGTTTTCTTATAGTGTTCGAAAACTCTTTCCCACTTATATTTGGTTGAATGCATTGAAACGCGCTCTCTATTCGACACTTAAAATTATCAATGCTTTAATTCCTGGACAACTGAGGGCGCTGTTGCCGTGATGTCATCCAAGGAAGACATAGTTTACTGCAAAGCTTTTTCTGTTAAAATTGTTAACCCAAAAATTACTTACATATCGAAAACATTTGTGAGAAATGGAATGATGCTTGCTTATTGTCATGCACATAAAAAGCAACGAATCAGTAAGGAAGGAGACAAATCTAGTCCGACAAAATCTATAAATATGTGGGGCATTATTGCGTACGAATCAAAGTAATTAAAACATCGAGAATTTTTACTGGGATTACATCACAGCTTTGCTCACGAATATGGAAATATTAATTAGCATATCACCAAATAAAATACCCTTTGGAATAATGAAACAAGAGTTAAAAAACGAGGTTAACTAAGACAAAAAGGTGCATTCTGAAGGTTTGTAAAACAAACGAAATTGTTGAAAGAAAAGCTATGGGCATATAGCATTGCTGACTTTAACTTAGCCTGGAATAGCACACATTGTGGCATGTTACATGCTATACGCTGGTGAACGCGCAAAAAACTGTAATATCTGAAAAACTGAAGCGGTAATCTCATCTTTCTTTTATGAGCTGCGGATTTTCTTAAGTATGACGAAAACAAATGTGGGAAGTAGAAAAACACAAAAAACAAGCAAAACCTAAAAACGAAAACACCACCTATTTTGCCCCCTGGTCTGGATAGTTAATACATGCCAGTAAGGAAAACAGTTGAACTTTTCTGGATGAATTGGATATTCCGAGCTATATGTCCATATATCGATTACCGAGACCAGAGTATGAATTATTGCTTTGGTCCGCTATTCAGGAACTTATTCATTCCAGCAGGAAATTTGCCCGTGTTGTTTGCAGCCAGATACTGCTTATTGCTTTTGTGGTTTTTCACTCATCCAATTTCACAAACAAGTTGAAAGGACTATATGCAATATTGCTGGTACAAGAAGCAATACCTCACCGTGAGACTGCTAAATAGATCATAATATTATTTTAGGTTGAATCCTAAGGTTTAGCCCGCAATAGGCCTGGCTGGGTTTATGCATACTTTTTTCGCAATTGCTGCGCAAGGCGTTTTTCTGGTGTTGTCGTAGTCCTTGCTTTGTCGTCCTTGTAAAAGGATCAAATGGCGGACCCGGTTGGGGGGTGACCAACCCCCAGGGGCATTTAAATAATATTATAGGAGAAAGGCAATTTTTTTTTTACTTTTTCAATTTTCTCCAGCAGCGTGTAAAAAGCCTCAAAATCTAGCCTCAAACTTTAG